TCACGGAAGATTCCCCACTTATTGATTTTTGGATTCCGGGTGACACAACACGGAACTGGGCAATTGCTCAATTCACACGGACTGCACAGACGGAGCAGCGCTCCACCATCACAACTGTCGACAGGGATATTCCACCGTACTGCAGGGTAGGCTCCTGTTTTTCCCATACTGGCCTGGTGGAGCCCCTGAACACATCCTCTTCATTGATTTTGAGGACACAGTGCAACAGCCCATTGGACCACCTTGCCTCTGACTTGACGTTGACGGAAATTTCAATCAGACAGTGGCATCACCAACAATCACCATTCTGCGGGGTCGGCTCCTGTACTGATTTTTCTGGCCGGGTGATTTGTTGGATTATTGAATATTTATTTCTGTACCACAACAAATACAGACACTTCAATTGCAATCAAACCCCACCGCACTGCAGGGTAGGCTCCTGTTTATTGAGTACTGGCCTGGTGGAGGTGCGTTATATCACTGTTTCACAGTTTGACACTCTGCACACTTCAGAACAATCTTTGCCCGAGGATCAACAGGTACCTACGCCTTCACAGTGGAAGCGGGACTTGACCCATTACACCTGTAATCCTCCATCAAACTGCGGGTCGGCTCCCGAATTTTCACTGGCCGGGTGGAGGTTACAGCTGCTTACACGAACAATTTTGGAACAACATTCCAGACAGTGCAGACAGACACACAACTGACCATAATTGAAGATTGCCCACCGTCCTGCAGGGTAGGCTCCTGGCTTTTTTTCACTGGCCTGGTGGAGCAATCTTCAAACGGGGTGGGCACCCCTTCTGACTGTCCCGATTTGATCTTTTTGGCACCAGACAATACATTTAGTGCAGCTGTGCACGACCAGACCATCGACCATTGGGAATCTATACCTGGCAACCGCTTCAAGTGGCTGTGCTTCCTGATCTTTTTGATCTGCAAGCAGAACTGGGGGTGGGCTCCCTTCATCTGGCTGGCCTATTTTACACGTGTGATCTCAATTTTGCGACTGCAGATTTCAACAATCCGTTTATTCTTTTGTAGACTTCCTCAACAGTTTTTTGGTGATCATTTGGCGGCTACAACAAGGAGACATTGGAAGCGACTCACTGCTTCAAACAGTGGATTTTGGTTTGCACCCTCCTGCTGGCTTCTCTGGCCCCTGAGGGGATTGCTGACCACTCTGGACTACACAGCGCATCATTCTGATTTTTTGACACAACATTGTTCCAGTGGAGTACACAGAACAAGCAAGGTGACTTTGCAGAGGGCTCGAATTGACCGAAAACTTGGTGGCAGGCCTGGTCCCAATTCCAGGCGCCAGACTCTGGTTTTTCAACTGACTTGTTTTTGCGTGATTACAATGTTTTCTCACTTTGACACAGTTGACCATGAGTTTGGTAGGAGCGAGGGTTACATCCCAGCCATGGGGGATGTTGAAACGTCACAATGGACAGACGCTTTCTCTTCACTCCCAGACGTGAAGCCACATGGCACGCAGCCACAAATGTGCGGTAGCACCAAAACCGCGCTGACCACTTGCAGACACTCCAGAGTTGTAAAGCGCAGCCTCCACCGAGCACAAAGAAGAGCACATAACCAAGGGATGGCTTGGTATCGAGGCCAATGCATGACACCACAGGACTTCATTAAGATTGGGATGCAACCCATCACCCAGGACTCACCTCCGCCGAGGCTGCAAGACCTTGAAAGATGCAATGCCAAGCAAGGCCCCAGACGCCGTTTAACTTGTCTCACTTGGAACTGTGGAGGCCTTTCCAACCACAGATTGGACGAGTTGAAATACTGGATGACCTTGCAACATGTCCACATTGCTGTGATCACAGAGACCAGATGGTCCTTCCAGACAGAATGGAGTGATACTAATTGGCATCACCTCCATAGTGCTGATGCAACATGCAGAGGGTCTGGAGTCCTTGTCCTAGTCTCTAATAAGGTTTGTGCGGCCAGGGACCTACGATGGACTGAACCAGTTCCGGGACGCCTTGTCCATGTCCGTCTGTTACTGCCGACCAGGAATGTAGATGTCATTGGTTGCTACCAACATGTTTATACTGGTAACAGGAAATCTTTGCCGCCACGTGAGAGCTTTTGGAAGACTCTTGAACAGACCCTCCAGCAGCTTCCGGCTAGAAATACTGTTGCCATGCACGGAGACATGAATTGTAGCCTGCCTGAATCCTCAGGCGTGTGTGGCACTTCATTTTTCAGATGGCAAGGACGGTCCAAACAGGGCCCACGACATGAAGATGGAGGGAGATTCCTCTCCATCCTGCACCAGTTTGGACTAGTAGCCCTTAACACATGGGACGCCAGTCAAGGGCCAACTTTTGCACAGAATGGGGCTGCCAGCAGAATTGATTATGTTTGCACTCGCTCCCAACACGCTGATGGACAGGCAAGAGCCGTGCAGTGTCTGTGGCAGGCCCCTTTCCTGCCAGTGCAACCGCATGGACACGCGCCACTGATCTGCCATTTAGCTAGGTATTGGATTCCGCCGCCAAATCAGCCAAAGTTTGGCCTTACTCCAAACCAGCGACAGAGAGGACGACTTGCACAGCTCTCTCACAGTCCTGACTGGGAGCGCTTTTTGAATGATTCTGCACCGGATGTTTGGTGGCAACTACATAATGTGCTGACCTCAGACAATCTTGAACTTCAAGATGTACATGACACGGCCATGCAACATTTTTCAACATGCTTTCCTGCAATGAGCAGACATGTCACACCTGATCCATGGCAGAAGAATGAACATACTTTGACTAAATGGCAACACAGACAGCTCCTTCACGCCATCAGGGACCGCACTGCCCAAGGAATTTTGCATGCCTGGTTTCATGCCACCCAATTTCACAAACTCACCAGACATCACCGCAGGTTTGCCAAGCAACTACGCCGCCAGCGTTTTGAAGAGACCTTGCAACAGGCTAACAATGCAGCGGCCAGCCATGACACCCATAAGTTGTTTGATCTCATTAACCGTTTTGCCCCCAAAACACACCGACGTCGTGTTCAATTAAGACGGGATAATGGGACCCTTATGACTTCCTCTGAAGAACGCAGTCTGATTGTGGAATATGTCAGAGAAACATGGCGGGGCCCCACACTGGCTCCCATGATCTGTCATGAAGCCCCAGGAGTGCCGTTTACGGTGAGTGAATTGACAGCTGCACTGAGACTGATTCCGTCCCAGAAGGCTACAGCTGCACCATGTGCCCCTGGAATTGTTTGGAACTCATTAGCAGAGACCATTGCACCAGTCCTTCATGCCACATTGACCAAATGGTGGGGGCAAAACCCACCCTGGATACCACGACAGTGGCGTGCGGGATGGCTCCAGCTAATCCCCAAACCTTCCAAGCCACCGACGAGACCACAGAATTTGAGACCCTTAGCTCTGCAATGCCCCCTGGGTAAAGCCGTTTTGGGCCTTTTAATTCAGAAAGCAGTTTCCCAAGCAGATGCAGCCTTCAGACCATGGCCGCTTTGGGCCTTCATGCGATCCCGCTCGACACAAGACCCACTGCTTCAAGTGGCAATGCATTGCAGAGACACCCGGACACTGATACAGAGCCAACGCTCCACCCCACACTCCAGAGCGGTCTCAGCAGAGCGATGGACCATTTGCGGGGGAATTCAGATTTTTATCGACTTGGAAAAAGCATTTGATTGTATTAATAGAGTCAAACTCAACTTGGAGTATCTGAGAAGATTACGCAATTGTTGCAGAACTGGCATGTGGATACACAATACATCATCTCACATGGGGGAGAGAGCGCTGCAGTTGATGTGTCCAGAGGACTCAGACAAGGATGCAAGGGCGCACCATTCCTTTGGAATTGCATGATGGTATTGATGATGACAGAGATGCAACAACTGATTTCCTTAGAATGGCTCCAAAAACACCTGTCGATCTACGCCGACGATTGTCACATCGGAGGCACATTCCGAGATCCACAAGAGTTTGATTATTTGCTGCAAGCCATTGGCATTCTTTTTTCATTGCTCCAAGAGTTTGACATGACCCTGAACCCAAATAAGTCAGTGGCCATCCTTGCATTGCACGGACCAAAGAGTCGAAAGACCAGAGCGGCCTGCGTGAAGCGTGACCATCGAGGCGATTTGCTGAAAATCCCTGTCCCCACTCAGCAACATGTGTTGATTCCGATCAAAGACAAAGCCACATACCTGGGATGCATCATGAGCTATCATAGCTTTGAGGACACCACAACATGGCATAGAGTGAAGCTTGCACATATTGCATTTTTGCGCCTGCGACGCTGGCTCTGCAACAAAAATCATTTTTCCCTCCAGCACAGACTCAGCTTGTGGCGCACTTGCATCATACCCATCATGACATATGGTGTTTTTGCTGTTGGCGTAACCCCAAAAGGCCTTCAACATATGCTGACTCAGCTAGGCACCATGCTTAGACGCATTGTTGGAGACCATGCTCACCGAACCAGACATACCAACACCTATGTTTTTGTTTTTGCACTCCCGCGCCCGGCTGACCTTTTGTCTGCGGCTGTTGCCACCTTGCAACGGTCTATTGCCCAGCGTGATGCACTCCTTGATGCCACAGATGTTGCACTGCGGTTGGATTGGACACATCTTGAACCCATCCATGACATGATCCAGCGTGCCCAGGCTGCCTCCTCAGTGCAACGTGCTGAGACTGCACTCTCTGGCGAGGCCCCTGACCAAAGCCCATGTTATTTTTGTAACATGTGTCAATTTTGCACCAACTCAATATCAGCATTTAGACGTCATTGCACGGTCAGCCATGGATACATTATGTACAGACAGTTTGCACACCCCATGCACTTCTACACAACTGATGGCCTGCCCAAATGTAAACATTGTGGCATCCAATACTCTACGTGGAGTAGCTTTCGAAACCACATCGAACGTGGATGCCAGGCCTTGATTTCTGGACCTGACCTTTGCACTGGCACCCCTGCTGCCCTGACCATGACAGCAATGTGCCCATCTCGAGCTGATGTCTCGATGAGAGGCACCCAGATGTTGAGTGATGCAGACCTGAGTTTGATCAAGAGCAAACCTTGGGGCAACCGCCTGTTGCAGCTCATTGCAGATGACACCCTTGACTTGCTTGAAAAAGATCATGAGGCATGTGGGTACCTCTCCAGATACTGCTGTATTTGTGGACAGCACTTGAGCCGCACGCAGGACGTGCACTTGCACTTCCGCACTGAACATGCCATGTTCTGGGAATTTGTTCCCCAGAAATCCAAGATGCTTACAAACATTCACAGTTCTGAATCGCCATGCCCTCATTGCGGAGGATACTTCAAGAGCCATCAGTGTCCTGTTTGGACCCAAGTTGCTGTCTTATTACTTCATGGTGGTGGATTGCATGCGCAAGAAAGTGGCCCTCCTGAGGTAGCCACACGATGCGACATCTGCCTGCAGCCTTTCTCTGACGTGACTCAACTGCTGGCACACTTGCGGGCAGAGCACAAATTGGAAGGTTTTTCTTTCAACGCAGCACGTGATTGTTTGAATGCTGAGGCCAAATGCGCCCACTGCGGCGCAGAGTACTCCTCTTTAGAGGGGTTAAGAAGCCATATAACACAAAGCAGATGCAGCAACTTTGACCCCTATGCTGCCACCGAAGTTGTACCAATCAGTCAGGCTTGGCTGAACACATGTCTTCACGGCAAAATGTTTGAACAGTTACGTGCACCCATGGAAAGATTACGCCTCACGATCAAATGCTTGCATTGCAAGCAGGCATACCAACGTGCTGGTGACCTTGCCAATCACCTGATGAACAACCACAGCCGCTTGTGGAGGCACTCACAACACTTGACGCTGATGTTGGTTGACCTTGTGTTTTCACAACATGGCTGCATGTGCAATCCCCAAATACACCAATTGCGGCAGAACCATGTATGCCTGCCTTTGAGGCAGATTGCTATGCTGTACTACCGCCTTGACAGTGTCCCCTTCATGCCAGTAGAGACCACTGACCAGGTCATCAGCCAGATGTTGCACTGCTCCATCCCCCGAGAATTACGTTTCAATGTTTCCAAGCTTTTTGCAGATCGAGCATTCAGTGACCTTTGGACCAACACTGAGGTGACTCAGCTCCTGCGACGTTGCTGCATGCAGTGTGGCCAAGAACACCCTGCTGGAATGCTCTGCCGCCACATCCATGAGGCACATTTGAGTGGACACCGTTTTGTAGAATTTTATTTCGAAACGCTGGTGCCTGCAATCTCCAAGATTCTGCATTCAGATTTTCAATGTGACCTCTGCAGCCAAGTTTTCAACCTGCCGCCTGATGCAACCCAACCGGCACTTTCTGAACCTCGGGCAGTCTTGGTCCAAACCCATCTCAGAGGGAACTGCCCGGTGATTTTGCAAAGCTACATCTTGTTGGCCACTGCACTACATGGAGGGAGACTTGGCTATGAATGGAGTGGACCAGAGCTCCCAGGCCCAAATCAGGGAGACCTTCCAGTTTTTGGCACCGCTGCTGGACCAAAGTCTGAAGCTGCAGCCAAATCCGAAAGCACCGAAACAACGTCGCACCGACGACAGGAACCAACAAGATCTACCAGATCACGGTCCACCCGCGGCAGACCCACAGAGACTGATGCAATACCTCCAAGCACTGGGCCATCTAGTGCTGCGTCAAGAGCACAGCTTGAGCTTGCTGCAAAGCACAGACTCTTTCATCCTGTTTTTCCAGCAGGACAAAGAGGGCTCACTCCAGAGCTTGCTGGTGGAGACACAGAAATGGCATCAGAAACGCCTCCAGGAACCGGAGATGGTACAAACCACCCTGCGCCAACACCTGTGCCAGCACCTTCTTCAGGACCTCTTGAACCGGGTCACGAAGGTATCAGAGCAAGCCGGAGGATGCCCTGTTCCGCCTTTGCCGGGAGAAGAATCTCATCCTGGAGGACATGAGCTGGCCTTTTCTGCGCTGGGACACGGCCAAGAAGCTGCTGGTGATAGACAAGAAGAAGGCCATCACGATGCCGAAGATGTTGGAGCATCTGACGGAGCTGGTGGAGGAATTTCGGGACCCGGCCCTTGTGGTGCGATTCCAGGGGCTGGCAACAAGCAGCCCGCAGACGGCAGTTCCATGGAAACTCCAGCTGAACTTGCGCTACAACAGGCCCTACGACCTGCTGGTGGCCATGACGCACTCCTCGGTGTGGATGGTGGCGGGAACGTCCCTGAAGATTCACACACCACAACAAAGTGGACTGGCAAAGACGGTCCAGAGCCTCTTGCCCAAGGGGCGGGGACGAGGAAAGGGCTCGGGGAAGTTCCAGGTCAACAGTGCCTGTTGACGAAGGGGTCGGGCCCGCCGTTGACACACACAACACACACACACAACACACACACACAACACACACACAACACACACACAACACACACAACACACACACACACTAGACAAGAATGGATCATTATATGATCCGGCAGGAACTGAATCCTGAAACATGCAGATTAGATACGAAACAATGAAATTAACGATGCATCCTACGAATAATAGAAGTTCTTCTGAATGATCTTCGTGTTCAGAATCGACGTCAAAATTATACATCGGCGACGTAGTGTTGACAAAATAATCCAAATACATCGGCGACATGGTTTCGGCGAAATAGTTCAGAAAATCAAAAATACTGTCGGCGACATGGTTTCGGCGAAAAAACTGAGGAAGGTTCTGATGCAGCTGAACTAATCATAAATGACCAAAATTGATTCCAGATTGCGACAACAGTGCAGCAAATTGTGTAACATGGTGGTTGGGGTTCTGAGCTTGGCCCCTTGCTATTCCGAAAAAATTCGAACTGCAGGTACGTCACCAGGCGTCCCTGGTGATATCCTAGGATCATATGAGGAGCTTCGTTGGATGGAGCCTCATATGTCCTCTCCATCCCCCTGCAAACGTAAGATCATTAGAAATGAAGAAGTTTTACATCTGTTCAGATGTTACACACACACACACCCCGCATGTAGCGGGGTTTGATTTTGGAAGATCATCGCGGTCGAGGTCGGCAGAACCAATCAAATCAAATGAACCTACACGATGCTAGTGTACAAAGCTGCGGTCATTTCACTCAGAAGGGAAGTTCGCTTCGAATTGAAGTATTTGGATCGCTTCGCGGAAGCTCATGCCTTCAACAGTTCTCCATGTGTCGTTGATTTCTCCAGATGCCATAGCTGCCGTCAAAGTGTCTGAAAGTTGTTTGGCTAACTCCTGGATCTTGGTAGTTAGGCGGGGTGCCTCTGCAGGAGAAGTCGTCTCAATGGGAACATTGTGAAAAGGATGGTGCCCATGTACTAGAGGAATCTCAAAGTGATGGCGCCAATAATCCGCAGTGCGTAAGGACCACTCCCAATTGCCAGAAAGACCGTAGAAGTAGTGTTCAGGATCACGACATTTGGAGAGCCCCGAGGTGGTAATCTCTTCAATGACTAACTCCCTGGTATTGTTGGAGTGCGTAATGATCTTGAAGTGGATCTGGTGGACCACTCGTGATGAGAAGTGAGAGCGATGGAAGAATTTGTAGGTAGGACTTGGCTCTGTCGGGAAAGGTACATCAGGAAGTGCGGGGGCTGAGTATGTATCGGTTTGGGACGTAGTTCCGAGGTCGTTGGGGGTAGTATTGGCTTCCAAAGGTGCCGAAGTGGTCGAGGTCGTAGGAGCGGGGGCAACAGGATGACATAGTTCCGAAGCCTGGCCGCCTGACTCTGGGGCGGACTCTGTGGAAGAGGATCCACGGTTCGGATTCGAAGGCCAACCCAAGCCAGCCACAGTTGCGTCACGTTTATGCTCCATGGGTGAAACGGTCGCAAGAATAGGCTCAATACAAAACCAAAAGCTGAGGACGCACATGAATGCCGAGCAAAAGAATAATAGTAATAAACGGGTAACGAAGTTCACGGAGAATAAATTGGCGGACCATGAATCGAAAAGTGAAGTGCCAGAAAGTCTACCGTGTTGATAATATCTCGTAAATCAAAAGAGAAAAAGAACCGAACGTTCATTTTCCTGTTCGGCCGCGAAGCAAATCAGGGTAGGATGACTTCAGGGCTATGGCATCTCAGACGTAGCACGAAAGGCTGTGGGGTACCGGGTACGAGCAAGGTGGATTCGATGTAATTGTACTGCCGGATACGCCACTCAGGTCGGTATTCTTCCAAAAGCTGCATGACGGTCCAATCATTGGGAACTTGGAAAGCATCACCTTCCAGATCGCAGTAGCGAAATTCCAAATTCGAAGGTTCCAAATGGATGTCCCATTGGGTCCGTAATCTTGTTGTGATGGCAGTACGTAGGTCTCGAATGGGAAGAATGCCTGCTTCGATTGGTTCCAGCTGACGTGCCCAGGTGAAAAGAGCTTCAAGTTCTCCTGCACTAACATTCTTGAAATTCGAATTGGCAAGAGCCATGTAAAGATCACGGTCAGGTTCACTGCGGTGTGTCAGTCCCTGCAAAGGGGAGTAATCCACTAAAATCAGGACGGGTCTGTATGGAGGAGGGTCCACATCACCAGGAAGGCCTCGATGTCCAGCAAGCCATGCAGCAGTTCTGGGACCCTGTGGTGTATCAACCCTGGATGTAGCGCGATATGGGTGAGGACGAGAAGAGTGAGCCATGGCGTCGAGTTCCAAGCGTTAAGCCCAGGCGGCAAATAAGAATACTGTTGATTACGATAAATTGGAAAATGAAAATCATGACAGGGAAGAAGTACGAAACAGGGTACGCAATAAATGGTCACAAGTCGACATTCAGTCTTTTTTCTTTTTGCAAAGTGATGTGGTGTGTTACACACTGGAGTCAGACATATCCATAGGGCCAGGTTCGTTCGCAGGTAGTGGACAATGAGAATGATGAACAGGTGCGGTAGGGTTATTCGAGTGTAGGGTCCGGTGAAGTGTTGCCGATGGTGAGGAAGGTGGTGTAGATCTCCATGGTGGCCAAGACAAAGAAATAGTGGTACCTTGTGAATGATGTTGAGCCGAACGTCCCCAGCATGATTGTAGAATGTGAAGCTGGTCCGGTATCGCTTCATACGGTTGTGAAACATGGACGTTGGTGTGTTCGGGATGTGGGAGAACCGGAACGGATGTTGCCGTAGAGGAGGAGGATGATTGGATGGGTATATCATAGTACTGGCGCCAATGGTTAGCAGTGGTGCGCAAGGTGGCACGATCCCTTGTGAGGTGCATGTTCTCCAAAAATGTTTCCACTGGTTTCCAAGTTTCAATACCATCTAGTGTCCGTTCCAAGATCCAAAGTTCATCAGGTCGAGAGAAGAAAAGGGGTAGCTGAGCTTCTTGATAAATATGGTGTGAACGGTCGTAGAGATTGGAGTCATTCTGGCTGCCCGGGGAATGTACGATGCTGAGGTAGGATCATCAGGTGGGAGATGCGAATCAGGGCCATGGATTGACGTAGTTGAGGAACGGGTTGGAAGCAGCCGAAGAACGTCATCAGTCGCGGGGTTCGCCATGTACGGAAGCAGTAAATATGAGATCGAAACAAACTGAAGCCGAAATTCCGTCAAAGGAGGTCCAAATTGAGGAAAACAACCAAAATATGGAGAGATAGTGTTGGGAATCCTTGAGAACATAGGGAATCAAAGAGAAGGGATTGGTAATAGAGATGGTCAGCAGGATGGCGGAATATTTCGTGATCGGTCCTTTTTTCTTTTTCCTTTTTATAGATGTGTGCATGTCAGGGTAGTATCTCTAAAGGCCTGTCACGCGGCAGTCTTCGTATATCGTGTTGCAGTGACGAATGGATGCCCTCGAGGAATCACTTGAACATGGACCGCAAAGCCCGTATCTTGCGTATCTGGATGGGGTGTCAGCAACAAAGGTGAACAGTCACGTGATGTGAAGGCATCGAGATGTTCATGAGTCTTCCATGACGGGTAAAACCAGTTCAGGATGTCGAGGAGAGAATGAGGAAGGTCATCAAGCATCTGAGCTCCTTGATCCGTGTCGATCATCATGTAGAAGTCCGTCGCTTGTAGGTGTATCGACCATCTCTGTAGGAGCGTATCCGTCACCACTGTTTTCAGGTCTGAAACGAAATGGCTGCGGGCATAGTCGGGGTAGATCACCTTGAAGGTCTGGAACAGGCTGTCATATGTTTCGGTGGAGAGGTTGCCCGCGACCTTGGGGGCCAGGATATTGTAATACGGGTTTCTGGCTGCCAGTTGCTGCATAGGTTTCAGGTCCAATTGTAGAATGACCGGTCGATGGGGTGTAGTAGGCGGAGGTGTCCAGCCGGGTGGGTGCTGAAAAGGTGAAGAACCCGTGGCGGAAGAAGGTGCCCTGGTCGGAGAGCGTGATCGTCGGGTAGGAGAGATGCTGTCGTTGGCCATAGCTCGCTGCTGACAATATCGGTCCAGGTGGATGCGTAGAGACATAATAAAAGGCTGACGGTGTGTATATAATGGAGTTTGAAGGTTCAAGTCGATCAACCATGCCAAAATGGGTGAGACAGTGGTGAGAAAGTAGTTAGAAATTAAGCAGTACCTTTACCACAAGAACAAGAGAGACACACGAAGTTGGGTATTGAAAGTGGTAAAACGTTGCCGCAGGACGTCCTTTTCCTGATTTCACGTCACAGGTGGTCAGCCAAGTGTGTCTTTGATCTTGTTCCACATAGATCGAACGTCATCTTCAGATTTGGCCATCTTGGTCGAGATCACCCGCCATGAAAATCGGGATTTCTCATCAGTCTTCAGTGTACGAAGTTTTTGTTTTTCTTCGAGGGTCCATGTCGAAAGTGGGCTCGAGGAGCGGGATCTCGAATGTTCATGAAGGCGACGACGCTTCGCAGGTACTTTGGGAACTGCTTTGGCCTTCTGTTTGCGTTTCGGAGGTGGTGGTGCTGTAGTTGAGAGCTTAGATGGTTCAGGAAGGGCTTCAGGTGACGGGGCAGCAACATGTTGATGTGGTTCAGGGAGATTGGTTTCCAACAACTCATCCATAAGGGCTTCTTCCTCAGCGATGTCGGGTGACGGGATGTGGACTGCGTCAATAAAGGCATTGGTCTGGTTCGAGTAGTGCGGTCGGAGCCCGTCAGGTTGGTTCCATACGTCAGTGCTGGGAAGAGGTGTGGGTTCAATGTTGGGGATGAGAGTAGGTGGAAGTAAGGCCATTGCTCGATGTAATAGAAGATAAGCATGGTGAACATCATGAAGAAATTGAAGAAACACTGGTTCTTGAATCGGAATAGACGTTGTAGGAGATGAAGAAGCCATCGCGAAACGTCGAATAAGGCCAACAGTGTAAATGGGAACGAATTTGAGGGTGAGCCAGCTGAAAAATCAGTACAACAGTCGGTAAAATAAAGTTCGGACGGAAGAGGTGATACGTCAAGCAAGAAGTGAGACGTGAGACGTAAACACAATGGTGTCGGGGCTGCGACGAATTTTACCACAGTGAGGAGGT